CAAGAATAAGCAGCTTCGTCAAAACTTAGTCTTTTCATAAAGCCTCTTAAATAGGTCAATCTCTCGAGTAGGCAGGTGGCGCGGCGCCAGCCCGTTTTTTTGTGCATAAAGAAGATTATTATATCGCTCGTATAGTCGTTTCCTACCAGCTGCTATCACTTACCCGCTTTAACAGCTATTGGAGAACGAGCCGGCGGCTAAACCCCGCCCCACTGACACGCCCCATCATCCGCACTGTACAGCACTATATCTGCGAACTTTCTAACGCTTGTGGTGAATCAGCCAAACGACTCTCAGACACTTTGTTCAGTTTCGGCTTATCTTCGTCGTTTACGCCTTTTTCGGGGCCTTAATTATAAGCACTGAATATCCAAGATCTACCACACAAGCACGGCACAAACGGTCCTTCGGGGGTTTTCTATAGTTTCTTTCACAAGTGCCGCCAATAGCCCTAGTGTTGCTTTTCGACCCCTCTTCCTGCACTCTGTCATAGTGCAATGTGCCGTGATGATGGTTATATCCTTTTCGTAATGACTTCTTGCAGTTAATAACTTGGAGTCAGTCTGGGCGGTGCCAGAAGGCATGGAGTGAGTTCACCCGCGGCGCTTTCCACCACTGGCTGTCTCCATGCTCTGAGTCGATCACTACTGGTAAAAAGCGCAGCCAGGGCGGGCTCATTCATCCTCCTGACACCGCCCCTGACACTGTGGCGATATCAGCTATACTTGAGCCCATGGTTGCCTTCGTGTGAATAGGCTGTCATGTCCTGATTTACGGCTCGAAAAGCAACTTTTGTGGCATTTTACCCTCTCCACGATTCCTTTCAAGGCAGGCGGGCGGAGTATGATTGGATGAAATGGCACTGGTGTGGCGAAACATAGGATGAATAGCAACTTTCGATCAACTGTGCCTCTGCCAGACAACATAGCTCGATGAAATTCATATCATATCAAGAGAGAACCTTAACGATATTGTACAGAAAGCAACTGACAGAAACTCGGAATAAGACGAATTGTTATGACATTTTTATTCAACCATGTCGATTACACATAAGTCTTCACGATTTATCCTGATATCGGCCTTATACAAAAAAGTTTACACGGATCCCTACTCAGGGTGTGAGATCACCACGCACAGCATATCATCTGCTGCCACGCGATCCATACTGTCGCACCTCCGTAGTTTGCTCCATGTATTTCCGCTACGGGGCAAGGCAATTCCGGCTCTCGATCATGGCATTTTAGAACAATTGCTGAGTCATTGGTGCAATTATGCTTCAGTGCTGGCAAATGCCGTCTACCCAGTGCTCCCACACTGGCTGCGTATGGGATTTAGGTCGGGGAACGGGCGGGCCACTCCCATGTCCGCCGATAATCGCTCTCGTTCTATCGAAGCTGCCTCCACCTGTGCTAGTTCGATGGCGGTCGCGACATTGTCCCCATGAAAATGAAGTCAGCGCGCATATTGTAGGCTACTTGAAAAGGCGGACATGATTGTTGATGAAGTCCTCGTCGCTGGTAACTTCTCGACTGGCTGACGCGTCTCCATGCTCAAAAATCTGGAGGTCAGTACGGCCATGCAACATGATGCCTCCCCATACCATAACACCTCGACCACCAGTACGATCACGTTCGACAATGTTTCCGGGGGAGTTGCGTGTTCCCACCTCTCGCCATATGAGGGTGCGTCCAGAATCACTGCTCAGACTGAACCTGCTCTCATCCGAAAAGAGCACACGGCTCCATCGCTCATCGGAATCGCTTTCTATCGCCTTTCCTGGCCAGACCAGCCCGTAAACTGTCTCGCGATTGCGCGGGGGTAGAAGGAACACAACTGGTAGACGGTCGTCGGGTGCGAAGGAAGACCACTCACCATGCAGTCGTCTTGCCACTGTAGTGCGTGAGATGGCTTGCCCTAGAGTCCTGTTAAACGTCGTTGCAATAGCCGAAGCCGACTGACGAGGATCTCTTCTTGCCTGCTGCACAATGTAGCGGTCGTCCCTTGGTAGTTGTTGGTCGGCCACCTCCTCGTCTTCGGGCAGCAGTACCAAAGGTTGAACGCTCTCCATGCACGTGAAACAACGCTGTGAGCGATACCGAACTCCTGGGCTACACTCGTCATGGTTCGACCTTCTTCGAGTTTCCCTATGATCCTTCCTCGAGTGAAGTCATCCAGATGCTCTCTTCGGGACATGATGTATCGAAGGATACTACCACAGTTCTTTGCAGCTACTCGTTGATTGAGAAAAAAAAATTTTTTCATACCCATAGACTGCCTCGATTTGCGCGGTCGGCCATATTTGGCACTTTATTCAAGCTCTTCTTCCACCGAGAAAAGTCTAGCTTCCTGTGCATATCCCTTAGGCGAGTGGCAACATGCTCCCTATGGCGAGTGGCAACATGCTCCCACACTTTCATTTACTTCCACCCAGTCATTAGCGTTTTATGTTACTTTATCCATCTCGTCCCTCTAAGTTTTGCACACCAGTGTACTATAACTCAGCAACCGGTGTTTGAGAAGATTGCAGGGCGTTTTGAATAATATATAGCAACTGTCAACTGATATCTTTTCAGTTGATCCTCACCATCATGATGGTTTTGGTGGTTGTGTATCTGTATACAGTAATCGCATTCAATTTCTTCCGAAAGTTCTTTGTTCAAGAAGGTGAAGATGGTGAGGAACCGGATCGCAAATGCCACAACATGCTCACGGTAATGTATCACACAGTACTTGATAAATTTACAAAGTTTTTTCTGAAATGCAGGTTGAACAGATTAAGACAGAGCATCTCTGGTAGCGTAGTGGAGGCTAATAGTCCGCTGCTGCGCAGAAACTTTTTTGAAGTAATCCGTATTCGCCTCTGTCTTCATTTTGCTCCAGAACTGCTATTGGACTGGACTTCATTCGTAATAATCCGTTTTTCAGTGTTTCATCTACCACTTCTACGCTGGTGTGCGAGCTGGTGGGGGTATTGGAGACGAATTAGAATCACCATATGGAGATGAACTCGAATACCCACGAATGTTCTATGATATCTCGTTCTTCTTCTTTGTCATCGTTATTCTTGTTGCCATCATGCAAGGTACAACTACTTCTTTACTGTTACTTCACAAAGATGAAAAAGTGATGTGAGGCACGCCCTTCCCTGGAAGTCACGCCTCTTCCTCCATGCATGTGTTTCAAGAACGTCGATATTATGCTTCACCGTTCCAGGTTTGATCATCGATGCCTTCGGTGAACTTCGTGATCAGCAAGAATCAGCGACAGAAAAACTCGAATCGTCATGCTTCATTTGTGACATTGGCAAAGAGACATTCGATCGATTGCCAAGAGGATTCGAAATCCACACTACCAAGGAACACAACTTTGCCAACTATCTGTAAGTGCTTTGTTTTCAACCAATTCGGAAAAGCTATCCACTCGTGTAGAGGCTCTCCGCCTTTGAATTCCCTTCGTTGTAAAATACCAACTTCGGTTGCTGGGCGGGGGGGGGGGGAGGGGGTGTGCAGACTGTTTGGCCTCGCAACCAGGGCACAACATTGGGATGCGTGAATCGGCGATGTCAGTGCGATCCCCGGAACTTCCTCTTCCAGTGCGACCCTCCCCCGAATTTACTCCTCCAAATGATCTACCTCTCACAACCTACCTATTACCTTACCTTCCTCCGGCCCCTTGCCAGAGCTTTTCGAAATCTTACTAGAGTAGGCGTTGATAGGTAAAAAGCAGCAATCGCAGGGGTTTTTTCTAGTGGAATTTTCTAATTTTTTTCGCTTAGAGGGGCCCTTTTTTTGTTTCTCTCAAGGCAGGAACTACCCCCTTCCCCAGCGACCAGGGCGACTTCGCAAAAACCTCCTAGCGATGCTGACCACTTCTTGCTCCGCTGATCTTTTCTAAACAATCACTATTGAGTTGATGAACTCTGGTGCGGTATAGAGGGAAGGGAGGGGTGGCAAAATAAGGACGCTTGGGTCCACGGCCGTTGTCCGTCCGCTCAACCAAACTGGCAGATCATTGGAACCGTCGCTGTAGAATGCATGGTGCGTGCCCCAGGGTAATACTCGAAATGATCCCGGAGAATCGGGGCAGGCGTAAGGCCTGCAATTTCTTCAACTTACCCTGAGGAGTCTATGGCTTCTGTGGAATATTTTCATTCTCAACACAACTGTAAACTGACAGTGGTCGCCAGACTGAATATTGCCGCGGTAAACAATTACGTGGAAATCCCTGTTTTTATCATGAGACAGCCCATCAAAAGTGCATTCATTCCAAGAACAAGGATGAAGGGCTCTCACTACATTTTGGCCAGATCAGGTCATACTGATTATTATTGCAATACTATCTTCGAAAGCAAGGTCCAAGAGACATTGAAGTTAGAGCAGTCAAATTAGTATAGATTATCTTGTCTTAAACCACCTTGTTTTAACCAACAGAGTCAAGAATCGCAAGTTTTGTTTTCAGATTCTTCTTGCAACACTTGGTTAATAAAGACGACACTGAATACACAGGTCAAGAAACATACGTTCGAGAGAAATATGATAATAGGTTTGTGCCCTTTCCAATTAAGTTTTTCCGAATACTTAGAGAAATGTGGTAGTACTGAGTGTGCTTCTAATTTTTAACCCATACAATTACATATATTTGCAATGGCGTAAGTGTAACACAGAACATCTTGATTTACTTTGAGGGACTGGGCGATAAGGTCGTTCAGTCCATAGAAGTAATCTAGGATGTTCGAAGAACATCTCCCAAGAAACACAGTAGAGTCAATAAAGGTCAAATGGTCACTGAATAACAATGTGTAAGCAAATGGATGTATTCAGAGCGATTATAAGGAATACCCACCAGATTTAGTTCTGTTTATGACCTGATAATGTTCGGATGGATTTATACTTCGCGATGATGGGCGTGGTTGTGCGCCTACCGATTCAAAACGTTCCAATGCTGTGGCTAGCCGTAGACGGGTATCGATCGACGCGGCCGCTAGTTTTTTTGGGAGAGCATGGGAGATTACGTTCCTAAGGCTGCGTTTATACTTTGCGGCAGCGGGTGATTATCGCTCCTAAGTGGTGCGGAGATGCTGTAGTGGCAAGTGGCACGCTTACCGCTCGCGTCCTGGGTTCAAATCCCGGTCGACTCCCGCCCAGGCCAACCAAGCCTTCTACCCTCCGGGGACGGTAAATTGGTACCAGATTCGTCTGGGAGGATAAAACACTGACTTGTACATCGGCTGGCCACCGCAAGTCATTGTATAGGCCACATCGCATTCAATAAGCCACTACGATTCTGAATGGAAGTAGAATGCGTGCCGCATCCCACAAAGGGATTGATCAACGGCGAAGACTTCATCCTTTTATCCTTTTTGGGAGAATAGGGGAGTACCAAGGCTGTATGATTATGCGTCACGCAACAGAAATGTCTGCTGAACGGTCGCAAAACAGCAATATCGCTGTTGTTCGACCCTTAATGACGCAGCTTGATGCTTTCCTATTCTCCTAAACTCTCCAAAACACTAACGCGCAGCCTGGTTCTCTCCTACTCACCCCTACTCCCAAAACATTGGAGCCGGCGCCGATCGATAGCTGTTTATGGAGGCGCTCTCACCTAGGGCGCACCAGCGGGACGACGTGCGTCATCGCAAAGTCTGAAAGCAGTCTCCACAGAAGAACTTAAATGCCAAACGAACATTTTCGGACAGCGGGCGAGCGGTCGCGTCGCGGTCATTGCATGGGTCGCGTTGAATCTGGCGCGAGGGAGGAGATTTCACATGAAAATTGGAAGTTGAAACATGCAGTGTTTGATATATTGGAAGGTGAATGAGTAGTTCCACATATGTTCCTTTCTCCGTTCGCAGACCGTTCATGGAGTCACTTAGACATGAGCTACAATCATAGACACACTCACG